TTTCCCTTACAATCAAACAGGAATAACTCCTCCTGTTATGAAAGTAAAAAAACAAAAAGAACCTTTTTTAAATTATAACTTCCATCTCTACATCAGTTGTGCTTATGAACAGCTGGGGAAAATATCCTGTAGAATTCAAGAGGTGAATTATTGAACTCTTCTCAGTCATCCTTTTTATCAGAGGTACTTGAGCAATCCTCTTCATTGCCTTCAGGACAGACTTTATTTCTTGCAAGTGGTGTTTCTGAGACTGGGGCTGTGCTCCTAACTGGGCTGTGTTTGCCTTTGGGTGGTTCAGTGTCATGCTCCTCAAACATACCTAGCTGGTGTCTCTGTAGATCTAAGTACGTAGTAAACAACGTGGCATATTCTGGATGCTTGAGTGCAAAGTTCTTGAACTCCTCTGAAAAACATAAAAAAACACAGATGCTACACTGCAGCAACAGAACCAAAGAAAATTTCACTGCCTGCTTCTTTCACTGAAGCTGATCTCCAGTTAGTTCCTTCTAAAAAATCCCAAGAATATCACACAAAGTATCTAGGTTTGTGCTTCAAAAGCTCTCCCCAAAAACAAGGTATGAGAACCATCAGGGAATTTGAGGGAATTAAAAAAGGAAACTCCCTGTCAATATGACTGTAAGAGTATTCTTTCTAACAAAAGGACATAACTTACCATAGGAGAGCTTCCCAGTTTCATCTGCATCTATTTCTTTGAAGAGCACAGAAACATCAAGCTCAGGCAGCCCCAGTGCTGACTGAATGATAGAAGCAAACTCATCTTCTGTTATAGTGCCATCTTCATCCATGTCAAAGAGCTGGAAGAGACAGAATGTGTAAAAATACTTTACCTATGAACCCTCTTGCACATCAGCCACTCATTGTTGCTTTCTAGCTTTCAGGAGCTCTGTGAACAATGCCTGGGATTTGAAGAGCCTGGAACTCTAAGCAGACACTTTGCAGAGCAATGTCCATGTCATAGCTGGGAACAGAACATTCTGCCAAAACAAACCAACCTCACAGTTGAACCTTGGTTCAGTGATAAAAATAATACAAAACTGATAAAACATAAACAAAGATGTAGATTTATTGTCACCATGAGCTATGCTAAGAGTCTACTGGATTCAGCCAGTCTATACTGGAACATCTTAGGTTTTAGTCTCCATTTTCATTAGGCACACCTGCTATCAGCTTGAACTCGCTATCATAGTTTATGCTCTGACATATCTAAATTTTAGTGTATGTGACTGATCACTCACTAAGGAATTAATTGTAAATAACATGAATTTTGGTTCCTGGAATGCAGGCAGTTGAGGTACACTGAGCATCCCATCCTTCCCAGTGCATCCATAACCATCTGCTATGAATCACCCCTGGAGAAATACAATGGATGGAGGGCTGTCATTCTTAGATATTTGCTACAGGCAAACTTTGCCATTGTGAAGGAAAAGACATTTAGTGGCACGGAAAACAAGCAGAAAAAGGAACCCAAGTTCCATTTTAGACAGGCTTTTACCAGCTGAACCAGTTGTTTTGTGCTGAAACTGGAAAGTAAAACAAATTACTGATTTTATAATCAGCACACTTGTTAAGATATCGAAGAGTATCTTAAGAGTCTAGGAAACATCACAATGGAACAGCAACAATAGCTGCTAGGCTTGCTTCTTCATATGAATCTGTACTGATTAAACATCCCTAAAAATGAACAAATCACCTTGAACAACTCTACTGCTTATCTGGAAAGAAGCCAGTGGCTATAATGGATTGCCACAAAACCTCTGGTACTTCCCAAGTATGCATGAGTACTAGGAAGCACCCAGTTTACAAGGAACGTGAGCAGTATCTCAGTATGTTGTTCAGTAGAGTGCATAAAACCAGATTAATGAGTAAAACAACTGAATCTGTGTCAAAGAGCCACTAAAAAAAGAGCTAAGGATTCACAGCATTGGTCATGTATTGCCTGCATGTATCTGAGATGTGAAAGGAGCTACTGCTCCTTGACTGCTTGTACTATCAGGGCACCACAGGACAAGCCAGCAGTTCTCAGATGCAGCCCAGTTTTGAATGTGACAGTCCTGAACAGCCCTTGATTTCTTTTCCCCTCTTTGTTAAGAACAATGGCTCTAGTGAGGTTTGACCCACAAAAGGATATTACTCCATCTATTGTGACATTGAAGAATCACAGCAGAAAAAAAACCTCAGGCAAAAAAACTACAAGTGCTGCTGAATCATTTTTGGAGTTAGCCTGCCAAGCTACATATTCATTAGTGCCTTCAGATGGCTTTTGAAACCCTTCTCTATGATGCCTGCAATTCTTCCCCTCCCTTTCACACTCTAAATGTCAATTGGTTTAAGAGAATTACTCACATTTGCATAACAGATTGAAGCTATAAACTTATGATTTGAAAGCTAACAGACTTACAGTCAGTCTTGATTTGTCAGGTTTGTAGATTTACACTAAATTGAACTTACCTTAAATGCCATCCGAATTGTCTCCTCTGTGTTGGCTGGGTTACAAAGAATAGACAAACCAATTACATACTCCCTGAAGTCGATGGTGCCATCTCCATTCTGTAACCCAAACATGCACAGCAGTAGTTATAGTTAATACTACAAATCACTTTAAGAGCTCTTCTGTAAATCAAACACAACACATGCACTAAGACAGTTTACAATACCAGAGGGTTTTGTTCTTCCTGGGAAAAACCTAAGAGCTTGCTAAATCCGTAATACTAAGGCTGGAGTAGCAATATACATGTTTTCAGTAGCTACAACTGGGTAAAAATTTCTATTTTATAAAGCAGCAAAACACAAACAAAAAAGAATTGAAACAACTTAAAGTTTTTCTTTAGTACAGGGCCTTCAGGAAGGCTCTAAGAATAACTGGAACCCAGGTGCTTGAGGTAATTGTAGCAGTGCATGCAGCACTGGCACTTGCAGAACTTCAGAGACCAATGCAACAATCCAGAATCTTGATGGGACACAGAGCAGGTAATGACAGCATAATAGAAATGACAAGTAGTTAATTGTTTTGAATATTCACAATAAGGGCATTCATCAAAAATGTTTTAAAAGCACTCTGAAGTGTAAAGCAGAGTTCCCTTTGTGGATAATGTGTACTGCATTTCAACAAGAACATTATCTTAAAAAGTGGAGTGCCTACATATGAGAACAGCACAAAACTTTTTCAGCCAAGTGAGAGAGAGGTGGTTGGCTGTATTTCTGGCTCTCCTACCAACTTCTAATGTCTACTTGAGCATACCAGCTATTTAAAGTAAACTTTAGAATAATTTAATTAAAAACAACTCCTGAAAGAAGTTAACACAGCTGCGGCTGCACATGGAAATATGACAAGAAAAAAGACAAAATAAAGGTCAGTTTGCTTTCATTAAAGTGCGAAAACTCGGTAATCAAAACTGAGCGCAGTCTGATAGACAGAACTCCAGCCATTTTAGTGAGAAATAAAGTTACTATGCTTGCAAGATCATGTTGTGACTAGTTCTACTAAACTCTAGGACGCTGGCTAACTTCCAAATGCTCTGGTATTTTGGTTAAGGAGAAATGACGGGGTTGCTGCCTGGAAAAAGAAATGGAAGTTAAACTGAAAATACAGGAAAACCTTCAGTGCTTATGTAACACCACAGCAAAAAGCACTTGCAATTATCTTTCTATGTGTATCTGTGTCTGCAGCCTGAATATAAGAATATTTTCAGGAAGCAACATGTGAGCTGAGCTCCAGTTCTCTCAATGGCAAAGGAGAACAACAGAATTTGGGTATTTGTAGTTATGCTACACAAAACAATCAAAACATAATGTAACCTTAACAACTTCTGTTTTTCTTTAAGGAAGACAGCTTTCTGCTACTGTCTTCTCTATAGCATGCTATGGTAACTGGGCTTTTGTTGTTTTTTTAATATAATACAGTAAATCTTAGACTTTGGAAAACAAGAAAGTTGCACTGTCATAAGCATTCTCCATTTAGATTTTCACACGGACTGAAAGCCAGATGCAGTATAAAGTTTAAAGTACTACTGCATCAATACTTTTGAGGAGGTATAACACTACCTCCTGCTTGCTTCTCTATTGCTCAGAGCCCAAATGGCACTATGTGGCACAAGGGATAACTGAGTGCTTTTCTACTGAAGAACTGGGAGGAGGCTGAATGCCATTAGGAAGGAACTAGCCTCTTTTTTTCTGAGACAATATTACTATTTTTCTGTTTTCTATTAAACAAAGTGTAGGAGAAAAAGTCTGGACATAAATTGTAAGTCAGTTTCAAGTAAAAGGTTTCTGCAAGTATACCAGGGAGGTATACTTATCTTATCAGTTTCAAAAATACTATTTTCAAGTAAAAGGTTTCTGCAAGTATACCAGGGAGGTATACTTATCTTATCAGTTTCAAAAATACTATTTACTAGGTGTAAATGCAAGATTTAGAAATCAAAGCTATGGAAATTTACAGACCAAACCAAACCAAACCAAACCAAACCAAACCAAACCAAACCAAACCTCTGTGTCCCTGGGGAAGGGCAGGGGCATGAGGACTCTCACATCTGGAGACTGCCTCTGCTGTGTATTTAACTCATAACTACCTTGAGTGGGATGCTGCACTCTGATGAAATTTCACTCAGATAGCCAGAGGTTGACTTTGGCTGGCTGTCTGCTATGTGACTGCATAATTATTTCAAGTTTCTCTAAATATAAATGTAGTATTTTGTTTGCTTTATAACTATGTTTAGGCTTGAAGGAAAGAGAGAAAAGACTAGTTCATGGAACTGTAGGAGGGAGAAGATCATTGCAAAAGTAGCTTTGTGTAAGTCTTCAATTTTATCTGGTCACCAGTGCTACCTGACAGTAGCACTGAGGTTTTGCTTCAGCAGCCAAGTATGAAAAAGAAGAAGTAAAAAGGAAATGGAATGATTATGTAAGTTCACTGATCATTACAGTTATTGCAACTCTAATGCTTTTCCCCTTGTTAGAAATAACTGTACAAGACTCTAGCAGTGACTGCCTTCAGGCAAACAGCCTTTATTCCAGCTTAGAGACTGCTGACAAATCAGAACAGCAACATCAACACCAAACTTAGAAGCTTTTTTATATAATAGCTATACTCATACGCAAACCATTTTACATTAAAAAGTAACTAAGCTTAGATCTTTCCAATATATTCCCTAAGCTTAGAGTTTAGAATTTTCTGAAGACAGACTTATGCAACTGCCCAATCAACAACCCACACAAATCCCTCAGAAAAGCAGACTGGTGCATGCACAAGAGGAATCACTACACTTGAAGCTGATCCATCTACCGCTAGCTACATCTGCCTTAAAAGACTAAAGGCAAAGACTACAGTTGTACAGCAGAGCCCTCCACGTGCATCCTCCACACAAAGCTGCTTTTTGCCACGCCTTCACGAATACATGGTCAGCTGCAGCCAGTCTTCAATGGTCACTTTGACATGCCCACTTCCATCTTGGTCCAGGGACTTGAAGGCCCGGAACATGCTGTCCAGCCGCACCAGGCAGCTGATGAAGCTGTTGAAATCCATGCTGCCGTCCTCGGCGGCGTATCTGCGCACGATCACCTGGCACAGCTGCTCGTTCAGGTGGAACCCTGCAGCCTTCAAAGCGTTTGGCAGCTGGGCTCTCCCAACAGTGCCTGACTGATCAGTATCGTACTGCTTGTACACACATTGCCACTTCTTGACGTTGTTCCACAGATACTTGAACTCCTCAAAGCCCAGTTTGCCGCTCGTATCGCTGTCCATGACGGCGACCATGCTACGGCAGGTGTCCAAGCTGAAGCCATCCGTCTTCAAGTCTTGGTGTCTGGAAAGGACTTTGTTCAGGATGTCCCTTAGCTCTGTGGCACACACTTCCATATCATCTCCAGCCAGCTGGGCAAACAGGCGACGGAATTGTCTGATCTCATCACTCTCCTGAGCTTCCACGTTTGTAAAATGATTGCGAGGAGGTGGAGGTGGCTCTGGATTATACTGAGCTGCCGCTTCACTTATAAGGTTGACGAGACCTCCAACAAGTCCTCCAATATTCCCTGCACCTCCACCTCCTGTTAGGAGCCCTCCAAGGCCACGTGCAAGGCTTCCTCCACGACTACTACCACTTCCTCCACTCAGCAAAGCTTTAGCAAGGAACATTGTGAAGATTTTTTGAAGTGAGTTACTCAAAGATCCAGCGTTGTGTAGCTCTCCGAAGCTGTTTTGCGTCTGACTTGGGTGTGGGCAAAACACAGCTTATCTGCATGCTTAGACTCCCCCATGTCTGTGCATGTCTCTGGCTGCCAGTTACGTCTCACTGGTTTCAGTCAGGTGTTGGTACGCCTCTATTTCTTTTCTTCTTTGCATCGTTACGTTTATGTGATTTGAGGAACCATTTTAGAGAAAAAAAATAATGAGGCTGAAACGCAGAAAGCAGTCTCAGAATGCCTGTGCTCATACCTGAAGTAATTTGAAAACAGCCCTGTTAGATGAGCATGACTGTTCCTCAGTTGTGTGGATCTCCTTAAAGGTGCATGCAGCTTTGTACTTGTTTGTTTTCGCAATCTTTTATTCCCTCAAATTTTTAGAGAACTGAGCATTACTTTGCTAGTTCTTGTCACTGATGTTGCACCATATAAAGAAATTGAAATGGTTGCCCTTAATTACTCTGGTTGCCACAGCACATTTCTGATGTAGGTACTGTGCTTCAGGACCCAGACCACATGCCTCAGGAGCCAATGGTCCAAGATGGGGAGGAAGGAATGACCAAAGGATGAGTACCTAGCTCTGTTAGAGCTTCAACACATTCAGCAGTTCAAGAAATAAATTTGGCTCTATCGTATTTTAGAGCTTGTCAAAAGTTTTCACCTGGAAAAATCCTGAAACAGTTTTAACCAGCATTTACCATGGCCTCCCAAGGACAGTGTACTGCTAAGACTAACTGATCAGGAAGAGTGATGGTGAGCTGGGAAAGCTCTTATAGTTAAGAGAAAACCTCCAGTCCACAGGCACTTGCAGTGTGTGTGCACTGCAGCACATGTGGAGGCCTAAAAGTAAGATTAATTCTATCTCTTCTCCAGTCATTGATGCTTCTGGTATTGAGAGAAATGCAGCCATTTTTGCCATCCTCAGAGAGAAGCAGAAAATTGGAGAGATTAGCACTGACTAGGGGTAAAGCCTAAATGATCATGTTAACACACCCTTTATGGCTGGAGAGAAGCAAGAGGAGTCTCTGTAAAGTCTAACAGCATCCTTCACAGGCACAGCAGAAACACTGCAGTGCTCCAGTTAACACTTCAGTTAGCTTCACTCTGTCTTAAATTATCTAATTAATAACAGCAGCTAACTAAGCTATCAAAACATACATAAGATCAAAATCTGCAGTTGGCAAAAGAAAATATTCAGCTGTTACCAGCATGAAGATTATTGTCTGATACTGGTGCAGCAACTTGGCCCAAGTGATGGCTGCCATCTCCCAAGGCAGAAATGAATGAATGTTTTCCCCACTGAAATTTATGAACAAAACTAAGTCACCTACCTTGCTTACAGAAACTGTTAACCAAGAAGCATTTACTAAGCTGGACATAACGAATTATAATAAATATCCTTTTGGTACGTTATTTCTAACAAAATATTGTCAACAAGTCAGTTAACTGATTACTCACCCTGTCAAAAAGTAGAAACAGCTCTCTGAGGACATCTGAAATAGGCAGCTTCAAGTACTCAGCAAACTCCTCAATTCCAATTCTTCCCCCTTTGGAAGCACTTGCAATAGCAGCAAAAGTATCCAACTGCTCTCTGACATGATTCCATTTTAGGCTATGCAAACATGAGGGAGAGGAGATATTTCTATACAGCAGTTCTCGGACAGATGGAATTTCAGTAGGAGTTATTAGTGTTCAAAGATGAAAAACTGCCAAACAGGGCATGTGTGTACAGCATTTCTAATGCTGTACTTCAGACCAGATATTTTACTTTAAATCAGTAATTAAGAACTGCTCCCCTCTGCTTATTAATATTAAAAGCAGGCAGTTCTGTGCTTGGGTATGTCAGACTTCCATAGACTAACTTCCCAAACTTGGAATTGTCTGTCCAATTACTAGGCTGCTCCAGCAGAGAGCTTTTCATCACTGTACTTTCAGGTGTAACAATATTTTGCTCCATCATGCTCTAGGGTAAGCATTTCCTTGACTGAGGGAGCATGTGTCAGCTCTTATTAGCAACCTCTCTACCCAAAAGCCCACTATTCCTAGAGCCTCAGAAGCATCAGATCTCTGCAGAAATATACCACTGCACCTGGTAAGAATAATTAGGATTGCCATGTAACTATTCCAGATGGAGTTCTATAAATGGATATATAGCACATAATAATAAGTCAAGATTTATTAGACACACTGAGATTTCACCACAGCCATGCCAGGTTATTTGATGGAATATGGTTACATGGCTCAGTCCTCAAAGTCCACTGTATCCAGACAGAAAAAACTGACATCATTAGTGACACATGGCTGCACAGTAAAACTAAGAACAGTAAGCTGAAAAATCAGGCTGGAAAGAGGCTTTTTACTTCCTGCCACAAGCTGCCAGTACCTCACCACTAAAGCAATTGAAATTTGCACCAAGATTACCATCAAGTGCTTAAAATAGGTACTGCTCTTTCTCTCCCTTTGGTGAGAAAAATCTTTTCTCTTGCAACATTGGAGACAAAAATTACTTGGGATTAGTCCTTACTGGGATTTTCCTCATCTCCGACTTCCTTGTAATTTATGTAAGTTGTATGCATAAATACACAATATTACACATGGCCAAGTCTGTTGTCTGGTTATTTAATCTTTGGCAGACAGCCATCAACACCTGCAGCACTTCAGTTATTATGCTACCAAGAGATAAAACTTCCCTTACTTGAGTTTCTTGCTAATTTTGGTGAACTCCACCAGCCCAGCTTCCATGGGTAAAGTCAACTGCCCTGCTGAAATCATCAGTCTGCAGTCTTCAAAAGTGTGATCAGTGATTGGAACATTCAAAGCACTGAAATAAAATTAAGGAAAAAGCAAAATCAATTTTGTATATGAAAAGATCTTTTTGTTGATGGCTTCCCTTCTCTGATGTGCAAAACAAATGGTAATTCATTCTTGCACTGTTGCAAGTAGGACAAAGCAATACACACCATTTCATGAAACTGTGAAACCACACCGGGAAACTACATTATGGCAGCACCATGAGGTTTTAATGTTTACAATCTTGTAAATGCAGCCCAGTAATGCTGCAGAACGAACCACCACCCACTTTTCCTTGCCAAGCAGAACAGATGATTTTATTCCAGTTTTCTATGAATTGAACATACATTCCAATGTAAGACAACCTTCTTTATGCTCCACGTAAAAACAATCAGGGTAATGCAGTATATGAGTTTGACACCTCCTGGTGAAAATCTAGAGTAATTCCTATATATAGTACCTGGGACTTGATTAAATTGTACTTTATGGCTAGGCTGTATGTGGAATTTCTGGATATAAAAGAACAGCTCTCAAAGGTTTTACTGGTGATCGATTACTTACTTTGCCATGGTTTGCCGGACTCTGTTGGCAAAAAGAATTGGATCATTCTTTTCTTCCTCAGTAGGAACATGAACAGGCAGAAACTGAAAGGGATGAGTTATCCAATCAATTCAATAGTTACCACTTCATTAGGAACATGAGCAATTTCTTATTTTTGAGTGTAGGACAACAGGAGAAAAACATCAGCTGTGCAATGAGAGGACTGGGCGCTAGAGGTCTCAACCACCTTAGAAAATGCTCAGGCTCTTCTGCCCTCTCCACACAGTAAATGAGATTTACTGCAAAACTGCTTCTTAAGGATTGGGAGAAGCTTCTTTAATATGTAAAATCAATCCCCCGAAGAAGGAAAGTATAATAAATACATATTTAGTTAAAAGATTAAATGCTGCACTGGTAAGAATGTGAGTTTGAAATATTGCACACTTCAAAGATGTATTTAAATACACACTGCAGTCCCACCTCCTACATCTTAATTTTATCTGTCAGCATGTGACAGGTAAGTTTCCTGAACACTTTTCCCCCCATGACAAAAACATTAAGGAATCATAGTTCTGAGTTGTAAATAGCACACTAACTGGATACAATTTTGGAACTCCAAGCAGAAGGAAAAAAATCCCAACAACCCCCTCTCCTACCACATCTAGGAAACACCCCAGTTATCTAAATGGTAGGATGCTTTCTATTGAGGATTCAGTATTAATAAGTAAGAAGTTGGAAGTACTTTTCACTAAAATAGCCTCTAGATGAACTATTATCTGTTGTGGCATGAACCAGCACCTGTTTGCAAAGTAGTGTGTGTGGAGGAGTGCTTTGTTCTTTCTACTTCAGTCAACAGTGTTTGCTCACAGCCCTGTTTACTGGGCCTTTTTCCAGCTATGGTTATCATTTATCAGAGTTCTGCTGCTCTGCACCCTGCCCTTAATTCATAGAATACAACAATTCCAAAATAAGGTGTTTCTCATGGTTCACTGGAAGAAAGTTGTTAATTATGTGCCACTATCTTGCTTTAGTTATAGTACAGGTGCTGGTGATGCATTATTACAGTGCTAACTCTCCCATATAAACATAGTTCGTCCTGAATAGCCTTTTAAAATTAGTTTTTAAGGAATGCTGTCTCTTTATGATTAAAACCAGTGAATTTATGGAATTATCTGTCAAATAACCATAACAATTTTCTATTTATAATTAAAAGTTGTTTCCCCTGTAAGGAGAGCAGAAGTCCAGCTGTTCACATGAATATTTGAGATTTCATTCCTTCTGTAAGCAGTTGCCAGCTTTGTTCAAAGTCTGAAATAGGTCCCTGGTTATTACAACTCCCCTTCAGAAGTCACATAACTCTTGAACGAGAAAGCCCAGGCACACAGTACACAGAAAACTCTTGTCGTCACTGGTTGAGATGAAATCATAACTCCAGGTTTATCTATGCAAACATGGTCATGGTTTTCAAAGTGGTCATTTACGTCACTTGAGGCTGAGGTCTTGCTCACAGAGCAATGTAAATTCCTGGCAGCTTAAACACTACCTTCATCCTCTTCAAAAAAAACCCCTACAATTATTCCTAAAACCTGTTTGCCAGAAACAACAGCTGAGGAGCAAGAATTTGGTTTCTTGACCTCCTGCAGTGGCTGCACGATCTCACACCCTCAGCTGCTTATCTGCTAGAGAGTGGCAAGTACATCTTCCCAGTCAAACTCAGTCCTGTATCAAAAATCCTTCACACATCTTTCAGCAGCAAAAATATTTCTCTGATCTGTTTCTCCGATCCTGTGACCTAGTCTCTCTTCTAACAGAATTTGTCAAATGCTGTATTTTTTGCAGCCCTAAAACTCACTACCAGGCTCAGCCTCATGTTCAACATCCCAGTGTTAGAGCTGGACTGGACATGGACACACAGCCCTGGAGCCCATCACTGCTCTGAAACAGCAGGTAAAGGCAGTGCAAGACTGGTGGGGGTGGAGAGGCTACTTGCTCACAGGATGGGACAGCCAACAGAAATGTCCACTCCTAAAAGGAGTAGCTGGATTCCCTCCTTCCAAAAGAAAATGTGTTCCCTCTCTTTTCAGAAACTGAAAGGCTTTTACACTGATGCTAAGAAATTAGTTTCATTCTGGGGACACATGTGCTGCTGTGAAAGCTGCAAATTTTTTCGCTTCAGTTTCATCTCTTGGAATATGAAATTTATTTTCTAACAAACAAGTTTGACTTCTGTTCTGAAGTAAGGGAAAATAAAGCTTTTCCTTCAACTGGAAGGGCTACATTAACTGTTTCTTGCTCCCTTGTATATAAATCACATAGCTATGCCCTACTGAACAAAATTATTAGGATAATTATCTCTTGATTACACCTTCTACAAATATGTGTCTAATGCATGCACTATACAGTCACAAGATGCTCCCTTAAAATGAATTTCATTGTTCCACAACACAGACTACATTGCCAATTGTTAGCAGTAACAACAGTGCCTGTATTCACAAAGCTTTGGACTCTGCTAAGTTCTGTGTTTTGCAAATAAAGAGCAAAAGATGTCATTTTCTCCCCTTCCTCAGGTTCCTAAACCAACTTAGTCCACACTGACAATCCTTTGTGGTCTGGTAGGGAATGTGTTTTGAAAGTTGTCTCTTTGACAGGGAGCAGTTAGTGTGGGTGCACACATGAATTCTTTTCACATTAAGAAGTGTGGATGTTGTTTCAGATGTTGCTCATCTGTCTCTGTGCTGTGCAGTGGATTTTAATGATCAAGGGAACTGGTTCCTCATATGAGCTCAGCACAAGTACTTGAATGAGCTCTTAGTTGTAGAAATCTGTGAGAGTCCAGTCTGGGGAGATGGTGAGGCACAGGAGGTTGCTGTGAAGGATTAGAGAAATGGGGAGGTAGGAAAAAGAAGCTGTTACCTTTGAAAGAATGTATGCTAATTCTTATTTTTAACATCTGTAGAATTCATGTGGTGATAATTAACAGTAATTTTATAATGCTCTAAAAATACATTTCTGGCAGCTGTCTTAGAAACTCATCAGAATGATACACACATATGGACAACAAATTTAATCTATTATTTACTGTGATGCTTGTTCTTGGTTCTGAGATATTTGTTTATTCT